GGGATAGTCTCTGCGAGGCTGGTAGGTGTAGAAGACATTTTTTTGTGTTTTCCCATCGGGTCTCTACTGAAAGTGGTACTAGTCAGAAAATCTCGGGCAGCGTTGTTCTGCGGCATGGCTAGTTCGAGGAGGAGGGTAGTTTAAATCTGGTACACCCGGACGCGGTGGGGGTGGTGGATAGTGACTTCCTCTGTTTCTTGCTTGGTGCTGATTGGGATCTGCCATTATTATTATTATTATTATTATTATTATTATTATTATTATTATTATTATTATTATTATTATTATTATTATTATTATTATTATTATTATTATTATTATTATTCTTATTAGTATTAGTATTATTATTATCTCACACCAATTAAAAAAGAGTGTGTTATATTTTTGAGTTTGCAATATGGGGTATATATAGGGGTGTGGTAGTGAGGATCCATTACAATTTTGGAAAATACTTCGTAATCATAACATGCAATAATTATCTTGGTAATGGACGACTGGCCCTCACCATGGACGACCTCATGCAAGCTATCACCAATCAGGGAATGGAGTTACAGGCGACCAAACAACAGATTCAAGCTTTATTTCTGTCAGCCTTAATTCTGATAGTCGTTGGTCATCACGTTCGCCATCTTTACCTTGGCGGCTGCCTCCATCCAGCACGGTTGGCTCTTCTTCCAACACTAATCTGGTTCCTTGCATGCGTGTTGAGGCACCATGTTTCAATGGCGACAATCCTGCAGGCTGGGTTTCGAATCCTAAATTATTTTGACTATTTTTCGACGACTGATGCCGAATGGCTACACCTTGTGGCCATGTTGATCGACTATCCGGCGTCCGATTGGTTACGTTACTATCACGTCAATAACTGCGTGATGAGTTGGGAGGCATTCTTGATGGCTTTATGTCAATGCTTCGATCCCAACTATTATGAAAATTACATCAGCTCTCTCTCTAAGCTGCGATAGACTTCATGCTTCTTGGCCTACCAAACTTCTTTTGAGGCACAACTCAATAAAATCTCAGTCCTTCCGGAACCCACTCTTATTGCTATGTACATCGCGGGACTTACCCAACCGGTCCAACGTGAGGTTCATCTTCGTGGCCCTCAAACGCTGCAGGAGGCGTTCGCCTTGGCACGCGAATTATCCGCGAGTCATCAAGACACCCATGCCCAGTACATGTCACGCCGTGCATGGTCATCTAGGCCACCGATGCATCATACTGGGGTGAACACCAGTTGTTACGGCCTCGACTACCCCATCACCGTCCCCTGCCAAATCTTTTGACTCTAAATCGGCGACACCACTTCCAATCGTGCGTTTGACTTCGACTCAAAAAACGAAACGAAGCAAGAAAGGATTGTGTTGGTACTGCGATGACAAATGGATTTCGTGTCACCAATGCAAACATCGCTTTCTCGTCTTTATGGGTCTAGATGACGAGGAGGATCTATCCTTAGAGACTTTAAAGCAGCCCGATTCGTACGATGACTCTGTCATCCTGGGAGATATCTCTAGCTTACACTCATTGTCCAGTAGCCCGAGCCCACGCTCGTTGAAGTTGGCGGGCTCTGTTAATAGCTTTCCCGTACAAGTGTTGCTTGGCAGGGGGAGCACACATAATTTTATTCACCCAGCTATTGTGGAACGTATGTCCCTGGTCCTTCATCCGGTCCCTTGCAACACCTCCCACATTGTGCTCTACAACCTCTCTTCTCTTTTCCCTTTTCTGTTTTGGATTTTCTCTCCCTTTCATCGTGTTTGTTTCCAGGCAAATTAAAACAATATTATCAGAGAGAGATAGAGAGAGAGAGAGGAGCTAGTAATGTAATCTCAAATTTTCATAAGCAATACAGAGCTGATGAGGGAACTTCCTTTACAAAAGAGAACTCAGAACAGTACATCCGTTTGAGAACATAAAAGGAAACAACCTTTGACCACTCTTTGTCTGTTTTTGTGAATATGCCCTCTTTTTTATCTTTCTCCAAATGATTTGACTTCTCCCTGCATATATATACTGCCCTTGTTTAGAGAAGAGCACATTTCCCATGCATAATCATTACTTTTCTCTCAAATTAAAACAATCCTACTTGGTTGTAAGTCGTCGTAGCTGGGTGGAGATTGAAATACGGAGTATACTTTTTTTCCCATTTTTTCTGATAAAATAATACTCTCCCTCTTATAAAATATTTCTTGTTTTTTATTAGATTTAAAAGAAGTGTATTTTGATGTTAATTTTCCAAAAATGCCCTTGGATGTGATAGGTAAAAGTAGATGTGATGGATAGATTAGTAGTAAAAAAATGTGATTTGATAGGTAGTTTAAAGATTAGTATGGGTAAAAGTGAATTTTAAATAGAAATGAATAAAGTTTTTTAGGACATGTATGAAAAAACAAAGGAGAAAGGTTTTGTGGGACGGATGGAGTATAATAATGTCACTACTAGCTTTGTAGATCTTTTGATATAATTTTAAATATTTAATTTTTATTTTTTAATTATACACTATTTTTCATATAATTAAAATGATTTGAAAATAACTTGAGTCAATATCGTAAACCGAAACAAAAAATTTAAATTGGGACGAAGGGAGTAAAATATAATGGTGATGACTCTGACGAGAATTAATCTCCTTATATCTTTTTTTATTAAATTTTTACCATTTTTACTGTTATGAACTCCTTTTCCTTTATTCGAAAATATGTAAATAAAAACAAAAATCTTTAAAAACACTTTTTATATAAGAGTAATCAATATTATTTTTATTATACAAGAATGTACCGAGTACTATTTTATATCCGGATCTTATTTCCTTATTTATAAAATTTTTTATATTTAATACTTATAAGTATTATTTTTTATATATAGTAATGTAGTATTGTATATACGGAGTATATTAGATTTTTATTGGATCATGTTACATAAATTTTAAGAGAATACCATTAATATATTAATTTTTTTATTAAATCCTTCTCAAAATTAAATTGAAATTAAATTAAATATGTACATAAAAAATGAAGACATATTTCCATATGATTTTATTTACAAATGTGGAAATAAAAAAAACAAAACAATATAATGCAAATATGGAAAAAACAAAACAATATAACAAAATCTTTGCTTCCCATTTCCCTTTTTAATTCTCACCACATTTTATTTATTTCATACTTTCATTACTTTACTACTTTTTTTACAAATATAGAAATATTTGTTAAATAAGTGCATTTTTTTCTATATTAAATAGGGTCTTGATTGTATTACTTTATTACTTTTATTCACAAATATGCATATGAAAAAAACCAAACAATATAATGTGTTGTGATATTTTATTTACTCGCAAGTGCACGAACCGTACGAAAGTATAGCAACGCAAATACGAGGTCGATCCCACAGGGACTTGATTATGTGAAGAATTTTATTCTAGATTCAATTGAATATTTCTAATCTAGTTGGACAAAGTTTACTATTAAAAAAACAACTAAATATGAAAGTGAATAATTTTAAAGAAAACTTAAATTAAACAAAAACTAAAGATTTTACTAACTACTAAAAATTAAGAGATTAAAAAATAAGTTTTCAAATATGAGAAAGAACTAGGACTTGGAATCCACTTATATATTCAAATGTAATTTTTACTCAATCATTATTTTCTCCAAACTTAATATACATGATAATCTCGCAACCAAGTCTCGTTACCATGGAGGATATGTCAATTAAGCTCTAAAAAAATAATTTCTATAGTTTGCTATTTTTCAAAGTTTTAAGAGGAATTCAAATCATTAATTGTATCTCAACAAGAAATCACAACTAATATCTGCTCTTTTAACTTGTCAAACAATTATCAGGTTTATTCAAAGCATGAGAAAAACATGATTGAACTCATCTAAAAATTAACCCTAATAATCAATTGGAAAAATAGACAATAAATATTTAAGATCAATATGGAAAAA